CCCTAGGCACCATCCCAAGCCATGTAATGCAATATATTACACTGCCAACCAAAATAACAAATCAAATTGATAGAATTCAGAGGAACTTCCTCTAGGGTACCACCCATGAAAAGAAAAAACTTCATTTGATTAAGTGGGATGTAGTTACTAGAACAAAAGCTGAGGGAGGGCTAGGGATGCAAAAAGCTAGTTTTAAAAACAAAGCTGCTTTAGCAAACCTGGCATGGAGAACTTACAAGAAGTTTTTGGGCTAGAGTCCTTATCCACAAAAATTACAACATGTCCAGACCTGCTCAGGCTGTGAGACACCATGGGAACAATAAATCACCTACCTGGAAGAGCTTACTAAAAGGCTGGGAGACATGTAGCAAAGCTAGTAGATGGGTAGTTAATAGAGGAGATAGGGTCAGCTTCTTCAATGACACCTGGATTCCTAATCAGCCGGCCCTCAGGCATTTGATAGAGGGACCCCTAACCCAGAATGACCTTCAAATTAAAGTGGAAACAATCCACAATATGGGCACTTGGGACATATCAACCCTGTCATTTGACCTCCCTCCTCATATCCAAAACCTCCTTAAGGCTGTGTTTATTTCAAGGGTAGCCACTAAGGAAGATAATCTAATATGGGGCATCACAACCAATGGGCAATTCTCCAACAGCTCTGCATACTCCATCATAACACAATCTCATTCTCGTGGAGAAGAGGATCACTTCAAGTGGATCTAGAAACTCCAAACCCCAAACAAGATAAAGTACTTTACCTGGATCCTAACACACAAAAGACTACCTACCAGGAGCTTTTTACACTCTATTGGAATAAACTGCCCCACCCAGTGCCATTTCTGTGGTTTTAAACAAGAAGATATTGACCACATCTTCTTCCTATGCCCCAATGTTGTCCACTTTTGGAGTGCCATCCGATCAAAATCTTCAGCCCCATCACCCTCCAATCCTCTCAGTTGTTGTTACCTTTGGCAAACAGTTTTGACAACTCTTAAAGGTGTAAAGTACAATGACTGCCTTAACTGGGAGAATCTCATTCCCTACCGCCTCTGGCACATTTGGCTGGCAAGGAATAATATGTGTTCAATAACAAAAAAGAATTCATCAATGCTAATAACACCATTGTTAAAGCTACTGAGTATCATGTCCTTAATAATAACATTTCACAACAATGCACCCACCAAATCATGCTTAAATGGTCTCCACCACCAAGAGGCTCTTACAAGTTAAACACTGATGGTGCAGCAAAGGGCAACCCAGGAATGGGTGGAGCTGGGGGCATCTTCAGAAACCATAACGGAAGTTGGATATTGGGCTTCATGGAAAACTTACCCCAAACAACTAACACAGAGGCTGAATTTAGAGCCCTCATCAGAGGCCTACAACTAGCAGAACTAAACAACTTAGTTCCGCTACAAGTAGACACTGATTCAGCAGAAGTAATCAATATGTTGTTGAATGGAAATCTAATATTTGACCCCCCTAATTTGTGAATGCAGATTGCTGATTCGAAGGATGGGCAGCGTGGTAGTGAGGCACTCATACAGGAAGCAAAATAGGGTAGCTGATGCACTGGCGAAGGAAGCAGCCAAGGAAATTTTTTTGAACAAATCAATATTTCTAGCAGTTCCTCCGGTGTTTGCCAATGATGTATTTTGGGCAGACACCCTAGGAACTGAACTACCTAGAACTTTTGTGGGTTATAATATAAGTCCAATTATGCAAAACTTTGCATCTATGCGGGACTTAAGGTACCCCAGTAACTCCCAAGGCAGTGTAACCCCTTTTGTTTAACTAGTTAATATATTATCCCGTTGACCCAAAAAAAAGTTTACTCAGTATGTATGTAAGACAAAAGGAACTAAATTTTTACTTGAAAACTTAAAAAGTTAAAAGTTTATATGGGACTTTTAATTTATGTAGCTATAATAAGAGTAAAATGGGTAAGATAAAATATTAAAAGTTAAAATATATATTTTCAAACATATTATTGTATCATTCATTTTTAACGGACTAATAAAAAAAATATTACATAAAACTAAAATAGAGAGATTAATAAGTACTGTTAACAACTAAAAAAGAAAAAAATTATGTTAACATCATTATGAAAGAAAAGGGGTTTAAGTATTCAAATAATAATTGTCAAATAATAGCGTTATATTAGTCCCCAAATACAAAAGTATACGAGACATTTAAGAACCCGTTTGGAAGGCCATCTTGTAATGTAATTTGGTATAATTATACAATTTTAAATTAATTATCTGGTTACATAAATAATTAATTAGTATGGAGTAAGGAATAGTTGAGAAGANATGTTATCATACTTAATTCGGTTAATGATCATATGCAACCATGTTAGGAACTTTTGTTATTTTTCTAATTATTTAAATACTACATCGCCTCTAGCAAAAAAAAAAAAACTACTCCATATACCTATAAACCTCTTTTACATTTAAAATCCTATAAGTATAGTTCTTTGAAACACTGTAGCTAACAAAATTCTTTTAAAATAAATATAATATATAGGGTACACATCTATGTTTATCTAAATAACAAAAAAGAGTTTACAAAACCAAATAAAAGTTTACTTACATATATAATAAAGTAAACATACATGCTGGAGAAAAAAAACATCACAAAATCAGTCAATATTTTTAAAAAAAAATTGTTTCTTTTTTCTTCTTAAAGAATATTTGTTTGAAGAGTCAATTTGCATAAATGAACATCAAACAAATAACAAAATTTTGGCTATACAATTGTTATCGTTAATTTTAATTTAGCACTTTCAAGGAATTAAAGAGTATAAGCTGACCCCTTCATTTAGCTGTAGTCAAGCCAATATTGCAAGGGTATAATATTTTTTTCGTTGAAGAATATTAGTTTTAAATCATTAGATTATGTGAAAGATTTTTTTTTTCAGACTCAACAAGAGAGAAATTAGTTTCTAATTAATAGTTTCTATAGCGACTTTTAAGTGTAACAAAGAGTATATATAAAGAAAAAATTGGTATGACGTGAAATATTTTTTTTAAAATGGAAACAAATTATTTTGAAAAAACTCTTTACTTTTTTTAATTCAAAGATAATAAAAAGATAAGATATTTTTGAATATTAGTAGAGAGTTTTAAAATTATTATAATAGAAGTTATATCGTGGAAAAACTAAAAAAATGAAATCTTATGGAATATTTACATAATATCCAGTCATATTTATTGTTTACTTTTTATAGCTAATATAAATAGATGATATACCGACAACACACGATTATACACATATTATATATGGATAATATATAAATTACACATCATCCAATTTTTAAATTTAAGTGATCGGGTGAGCACTTATTTAGGCTGATTAGATAAAGCCAAAAGAAAATTGTGAAATAATTTCAGCAAATACTAAAAATATAATTAAAGTTCATACGTAGACAATTTATTAAAACTCATCCGTTTATGAGATAAGAATCCAGTGACACCGGCAAGAATGATATCAAAGAAGAAAAATAGAAAAAATGGTTAATTTTTTCACGTAGTTAATATTCAATGATTATCTATATTTACTGAGAAAGTGTAAATTTTAAAATTATTTACATACAACCCAAATAACTTAAATATTTGACATGATTAGTGTCCGCGCATTCGCGCGGGTACTAATACTAGTGATTAAAAAAAAACAATCAGCTTTACAGTTAAAAAGTTAGACGCATAAAATTCAAACAAGAATGGGTTTAGCTACCTGTATGAAAAAATTTAATAGTAATAGGAAATAGAAAAAAAGGCAAAATACCTTATCACCCCCTAAACTTGTCACGGATTATTAGTTACAACCTTAAACTATTCGTGTTCTTAATTACCCTCCTCAACTAAGCCTTTTGAGATTCATTACCCCCTGAACGTTGATGTGGCAAATTGTTTGGGTGCACTCGCATGCCACGTATATTTTTCTGTATATGTGGCATTTTATTGAAAAATAAAATATATTTTTTATCTTTTTAAGTATGTTACTTTTTTATATAATTTTTTTCGAATACAATTTTATAATTAAACTCGGATAGAACTACATATTTAGGCTAAATTTTTTTATTTGGCTAAAAATAATAAAGTTTTATTTAGTCTTTTTTTGAATTTGACCTGAAAATAAAGATTTATACAATTAAAATAAATAGTCAAGGCGTCTAAACAGTTATAAAAATACATAGTTTGAAATTATTTATTTTGTTTATAATTTTTTATATAGATCTAAATTATGGTGCTCTAAAAATATACTTTTTACATATTTTACCTGAAAAAGTAAAAATAGACAGTTGAAATAAATAGTCATTGCATTAAAAGAAGAAATAAAAAGAGTGAACAATTGCAAGAAATAACTTATTATTTCTAACATATTTATTGCTCTAAAAAATACTTATTGCAGAAATGCAGGGTAAGGCTGCGTACGATAGACCCTTATGGTCTAGCTCTTCCACGGACTCAGCGCATAGCGGGAGCTTAGTGCACCGGGCTGCCCTTTTTTTTATTGCTCTAAAAATGTATCCATAGAGTAAGTTATTTTTTGCAATTGTACACTCTTTTTATTTCTTCTTTTGATACAATGGCTATTTATTTCAACTGTATATTTTTATTTTTTTCAAGTAAAATCTGTAAATACATATATTTTAGAGCACCATAATTTAGAGCTATATAAAAAATTATAGCCAAAATAATTAATTTCAAATTATGTATTTTTATAACTTTTTAGATGTTTTGATTATTTATTTCAATTGTATTTTCAGGTCAAACTCAAAAAAAGATTAACTAAAACTTTATTATTTTTGATCAAATAAAAAAATTTAGCCTAAATAATGTAGTTCTATTCAAGTTTTATTATAAATTGTATTCGAAAAAAATTACTAAAAAAGTAACATACTTAAAAAGGTAAAAATATATTTTATTTTTTAAAAAAATACAACATATACAGAAAAATACGCGCGTGTCAGGTGAGTGCACCCACACAATTTGCTGTATCAGCGTCCAAATTTTGTATGTGAACAAAATCACATCCCCTACCGCGTCTTCTCCATCTCTGCAAAAGTTGGCCACTTTATATCTTAATTAACCGCCTGAATCCAATTTAAGCTTACCCTTTTCTTAATTTTTCTTGAATATGGGCGAAAAATAGGATCTTGGATGCAGTCAATCAGTTCTCTGAGCTCATTCATTCATCTACTGGTAAACAATTTAGCTATCTCCTATTTTTTTTAGTGATATCTCTTATTTCACACTAATTATGTTGCCATTTATTGGAAAATCTTTCAGCAGTTTTTGTTTCGTTCGTTCCTTCACACTATATTTGTTTGTTGGACTTGGTTGCTACTCTTGATATTCTACGAATTGTTTGACTTGATTTTGATTGTGGAGTCAGGATTGTAGTGTGAAACAAAAAAATGTCTTTCTTTAGGGAATGGCTGGTGATTTAATCTGAATAGTATATGGTCTAGTTGAATTATGCAACACTTGAATGTAAATGTCTTATGCCATTCGATGTTAAAGATTCATTCAAAGCAAGATATGGGAAATGTTCGCGTTCTTGAGGAGTGTTTAGGTATATTTTTTAAGCATTTGATGTGAAAAACTTCTAGCAACTGGCAATTGTAGTTCTTTATAAGGCATTCGAAAGAAAACACATGCTCGTAATTACCTTTTTTCACCCCTATATTTGGGTTGTTAGCATTTTGAAAGACAAATTTTTACTTGGGTATCTTACTTCCGCCAGATGGTTAGTTCCAGAGGCGGAGTCAAGATTTGAAGTGTATGGGTTCTGAATTTGCCACGGAACCTGCTGCTCGTCTTAGTTACTGTTTTCGCCTAATACAAATATAGTGTTTAAGCAAATGTGACTGGGTTGGTTCCAAACCCGTACCTAATAGGCTCGCTTCGCCTCTGGTTAGTTCGTACCTGTCATCTTAACTGGTGTAAATTCATTTCTGAGAAAGAGCAATGTTTAACTCATCTGACTTACTCTATGTCCCATACGATTAACAACTATTTGACTACTACAAATATTTAAGGGGAAACTTGGCATTTGATTGGAAGGGGGAAAATCGAGTTGTCTTTCCGCTTGAAAATTAAATGATATTTGTATTACCGGAATTAAGGGGGCCGGTGTATCTATCAATGAGAAACGGGGTATATTCAAGATTTCATCCTATTCTGAGGGATAGATTTTAATCTTTTCTTTGTTTCCTTTTTCTCTTAACAAATCATTTCCTGCTTGAAGATCATTGATTATCTACTAGAGTAACTTCCTTCTCATGTCTGATGAGAGTTCGGATGCGGCATAACTTTTTCTCCTCTACGCTGACAGCCGCATATAACTCTTCAGGTAGAATTTGAGCCACAGGTCTAGGAGTTTCTTAACTTGGATGAAAGTTATTGGGCACAGGAGATGCAGTCTCTGCTCTTCATCTAGGTTATTCTCATCTTCAGTTCAATGGATTTCTCCTTTGCATTACCAGAGCAGGAGTTCCCCGAGGCAAGATGCTGCTATCGAAATAGATGGCACTACTGTAGAAGAAGTTCCAAGAAAACGCAAGTATATATCTCATGAAGCCGCAGTCAGCTTGATAAAACAAGAGAAAGATGCAAAACGTGCCCTGGAGATTTTTAACAAGGTTTCTGATCAGAAGGGTTTCAATCACAATAACTCCACCTATGCTGTTCTTCTCCATAAACTTGCTCTTTGCAAGAAATTTGAAACAGTCGATGTTGTTATTCATCAGATGAAATATGAAACTTGTAAGTTCCATGAAGGTATATTCATTAACCTCATGAAACATTACTCCAAATCCTCTCTCCATGAAAAGGTTCTGGAGATGTTTGACGCAATCTTGCCTATCGTTCGGGAAAAGCCGTCCCTCAATGCCATTAGCACGTGTCTGAATCTCCTGATTGAAGCAAAACAGATTGATCTGGCCAGGGAGTTTCTCTTAAATGTGCAGAAGCATCTAGATTTGAAGCCGAATACATGCATTTTCAATATCTTGGTCAAGTATCATTGCAGAAAAGGGGATGTTGAAGCTGCATTTGTAGTAGTAGAAGAGATGAGAAAGTCCATAGTTTCTTATCCTAACTTGATTACTTATAGCACCCTTATGGATGGCCTATGCCGATGTGGAAGGCTTCAAGAAGCAATCGACTTGTTTGAGAAAATGCTTGCTGAAGATCAAATTCCGCCAGATGCATTGACTTACAATATCTTAATAAATGCATTTTCTCGTGCAGGAAAGGTGGATAGAGCTACAAATATAATAGATTTTATGAAGAAAAATGGATGCCAACCAAATATAGTTAATTACACAGCTTTGATGAATGGATTTTGTAAGGAGGGGAGAGGGGAAGATGCCAAAGAGGTATTTCATGAGATGAAAAGAGTAGGCCTAACGCCTGATATCGTTGGCTATACAACATTGATAAATTCCTTCTGTAGGGCTGGTAAAGTTGATGAAGGCATTGAGTTACTTGAAGAAATGAAGGATAAAGGATGCAAAGCTGATGACGTGACAATAAAAGTTATACTTGGAGGATTGTGCAGAGCCTCTAGATCAAGTGAAGCTTTCGATATGCTTGAAAGGTTACCTTATGATGGTATACGCCTAAGTAAGGAAAGTTATAGGATTGTGTTAAATTTCTTGTGTAAAGAAGGCGAGCTAGAAAAGGCAATGGAGTTGTTAGGTCTGATGTTGGCTAGAGGATTCGTGCCTCATTTTGCTACGTCAAATGAATTGATAGTTCAACAATGTGAAGCTGGAAAGGCAGCCGATGCAGCTATGGCATTGTTTGGGCTGTTAGAAATGGGGTTTAAGCCAGAACCTCAGACATGGAGTTTATTGATTGATGTGATTTGCAGGGAGAGAAAGTTATTGCCTGCATTTCAATTACTTGATGAGTTGGTTCTGCAATAGTTAAATATATGTACTGTGACTGTAGGCTTTTTCTTTTCTTGTCGATGGCTTTTAGAAAGAAGATATTTGAACCATCATTAGCTTGCAGTAGACATCAACATATGTTCATTAGAAGTTTAATCTGTATCTCCTTATAAGACACAAAGGAATGGAAACTTGCGAGGATAGCAGATTCACTTGCCCTACTGCTATATGCATTTTACCACCTTAACGTTTTGCCCCTTTGAATGAATTGCGACTTGTACAACCTAGAAATTGCTACTTTGACTTTGTGATGCAGCAAATCAGCCTATCGATACGTGATTTTTTTGTCCAGAAAAGGCCACAGCTTGCATTTGAATGAGTTGAGGGACCATGCAAGAAATCAAACTTTCCAGGAAGAGCTACAACTTGCTTTTGAATACGTTTTTAAGTTAAAAGATTATTTAGTTCATGTGTGAACCAACGGTCAATGCAGTAACCACCCAGTATGGGGACAGAAAGAACTGTCATTGTGCTCCGTTGAGGTCCAACATGTTTGAAAAGATACTTCCTAATTCCAACTGTTGAAATTTTACTATTGCTTGCTCTGATAAAGCAAACGTTTTGCCCAGATTGAACAAATTTGAGTTTTTAATTAGATATATGTCTCTAGATATCGTCCTTCTGCATGTGTGGCTACAAACTCTAAGGAGAAAGCACATAAAAAGGGCATGCACTTCCCACAATTCATTATAAACCATGAATTGAGACAAAATCCATTGATACTCTAGTAAGAAAATCTACCAAAATAAGAGGTCACCAATTCTTTAGTCGATACAAGAAGATTTCATATAGACAGCCCTCTGAATGAGGTTGGTCACTTGGCACTTAGCAGTGATGTCGGCTTCTCTATACATGCACAAAAGATAGTACACTAGCCTAATTGATGTAAACTACAGATCCAACTGTGCATCCCAGCTCCTGTAATAATGTGAAGGTGCCAGTAGGATCACACGATATACTACAACGGGAAGGTGCATATCTTGGCTTTACCATATTGAATGCTTCATGCCAAGACCGTTACACGTTAAAATAAGACCCTTGTAGCGATTGAGGTATTCCTGCAATCAAGATGGACAAATGCCAGAGCAATATTAATAATCAAGACATGGTTAAGTACTTAAAACTAACCAGAAAGAAACAATCAGGAGGACACTCACAACAATGTTGTAATCATAGGCTCGTAGCATCCCTTTCTTGTCGTATTCTTGACGTTTCACAGGATCAATCAGAACTGTTTAAAGACAATTGGAAAGTTAAAATATAGGGAAACACGACAAATGATAAGATTAATCAGAAATAGACACAGTAAAAGGTTAAAGTAAGAGCAGGTTAAAAAATCTTAAGAGATAAATGTTGGTGACCTGGTCATTACAGTTTGTATAATCACGTTGTCCAACTAAGATAGTTCAATACTGTCAACCATATTGCACAATGCTTGCATGAACTATGTATCATGAAGTAAGTCAATGGCATTACACAGTATGAATACATAGCTATTACACAATTTGGGTAACTTTAAATAAGTCATTGATGTTTCAATGATAAAGAATGGGTTCCTACTGTCAAACGCCCTACCCCTTAAATTTTCCTTTTCTTTTCTTTTCTTTTTTTGAAAAGATAACATATCTATTACTAATTAAATCATCAGCACAAAAATTGTGCTGGGAGCCAAAATGTACATCATGTAGAACTTAGGCAAAAACCAAAAGCGTAACATCCTTGTTCTTCTCACAAGGAGCCTAAGACTTCTATGATTGAATCATGGTCATCAATATATTCTAATTTACACCAATAACTAAAAAGAAGAGTACAATTCATTTTAATCTTCTGTGTAGAGCTGCTTGTATCTTCAAAGCATCTTGCATTCCTCTCCTTCCATATTGTCCACCAAATAGCTGCTGGGACAATTTTCCATCTGTCTTTGTTAGAGGAATTTCCCCCTGTATTCCAACTTTCCAGAAGTTCAAAGGTTCTTTTGAAAGTCATTGATGTCAGGACAACACTCCAAAAGCTAGAAGGGCTGTAAGTATACCTATATGATTTCGAGTTAGGTTCAAAATCATGAATTATCATAATAACTTTTAAGCTTCCGGAATCTTGACTAGTATAAGGGTCTCTGATCTTAGTTGATAATTGCAGAATATGGGAAATGCAGAAGCTGTCAATATTTCTTCCAGTCAGTTTCATGTATTTTTACTTTTGCGGCATTTTACTAGCCTTACAAAATTCTGATTGTAGACTCATTGCACCCTATTATTTTAGGTATATCGATTAGTTTTTCTGCCTTGTGGGAATACACAGGTACATTGTTGTTGTTGATGATGATTAGGTTTTCTGCATTTTTCTAAGCCTTCGGAAGCTTCTCTACAGGAAACCTGTGATAAACTGATACCGCCTTCAAGCTAATGTTTGCCCTCTTTCTCCCATTCACTCACAAACCACAACAGATAGCATTACCTCCATCTTTCTGTTTAAAGACGGTTCTGAATTACTAGTATCGTTCAGTGATTAAAAAAGCGCTCGCTTCATCGCTTTAAGCGAGAAGCGAAGCGAGGCGGGCAGGTCAGCGCTTCAGGTCTGTGAAGCGACTCTGGTACGAAAAAGCGACCGCTTCTCTGTAAAAAGCGAGAAGCGGTGAAGCGAGAAGAAGCGAGAGAAGCGACCGCTTCTTTGTTCAAATTAACCCAAGCCCTATTTTATTAACCCAAGCCCTATTGTAAACCGTAAACACTGTCTGGAGTCCAGAAACAGCAGCGAGACTAGGTTTTTTTTCAACAAGAGCAGCGATTTCTTCTTCTCTTCTTCATCAACTTCAGATTTCTGAAATTATCTCAAGTTCCAAGGTTTGTTCTTCTTCTTCTTCAACATCACAGGTATGTTCTGCTTCTTCTACTTTTGATTTTCAGTCTTCTTCTTCTTCTTCTTCTTTTTCTTTTTCTTTCTAAACGTCCAAAAAGCGTCGAAATGCTGGCGAGTTTTTTTTTAACCTTCGGTTCTTTCTCAGAAAATTTTTGCCCAATTTTTTCAGTTTCTGCCCCCAATTTCTGCCCAATTTAATAATGATAGTGGAATACAAGAATTTGACAATCTTGTAGAAGAATAGGATGCTCATTTTGTGCTTTAATTGATGCTACTCTTTAGTTTTTTAATTGAAGTATTGAACATTTGCTTACAATTACATGTGTTGTCTATGCAGTATTTATTTAATTTTTTTTTTTTTAAATTCCGCTTCACTTAAAAAAAGCGAGCGCTTCGCTTCTCGCTTCTCACTTCTCGTGAAATGGGGGTTATCGCTTTTCCTCGCTTTACGTTCTTCACAACACTGGTATCGTTCACCTTCCACTAAAGAGGACATATATTCCTGCTATTTTACCTCACACAATAAGGGATTATCGCAACTGTTCAGCTTGTTAAGTTGTGCACAGAATCTCTTATGTAAATATGAACTTCAAAGCATCAGTGGATCATCTCATTATGTCGCTAATCATTTTTCATTGGATTGTTTCTTCCCCATAACTACTGGATGAACAAAATAGACAACTTCAGAAAATATAGACACCACTTGCAAGAAAGCCCAAGCTGCCAGTCCTTATTGGGGAAGTTAGCTTGAATTTAAATTTCTCATTTACACATTCACTAAGAAGATCATGATGAGGGTCATCTTCTGATATATTTGGAGTTCGTCTAACAATTGGAGTCTCAATTTTTTGAACTTGTAAATTCCTAAATCACACCACCTACACGAAAAGCACAGCCAAGTCCAACCCCCCGATATAGGTGGAGGTTATTGACACCTACCCTAAAAAGAGTCAATCCTCAGCATACTAATTAACAGAAGGATGGAGTCAAAGATTTCATATAATTAACCCCAACTGGTTTGGAACTGAGTGCAGTTAATATTGTAAATTCTCAAAACAAGGCCAATGGGAAAGCTAAATCTTGAAGCATAAAATGACCAGTATTTGCATCAGATTCAAATCTCATTTGCACTCTTGATCAATTCCAGAACCTTCAGAATTACTCCATGAGAATAAGCTCAAATTTTCCTTGTTCACTATTCTAAGCTTTCACGATTAGTTGGAAAATGCACACACAAGAGTGGAAAACTGATGTTCGTCATCGGATTACAGGAACATTCAAGAATCCCTTAGTTAACTTTTTTTTTTAAATCCCTTAGTTTAACTTAAGCACAAAATTGTGTCTTTCCAGAAAATAACCATTTACCTGACAAACAAATCCATGAAATCGGAGACTGAGGAGACCGCCTGTGATTTTTTATTATTCTACTTTTTTAACATAACTGAGTTTCAAATATATAAGGATTTCCCTGTAGGGGGTACCTGTAATGTGTGGGCACACTAGGATGGATAAGATTAGGAATGAGGATATTCGGGAGAGGGTGGGTGTGGCTCCCTTGGATGACAAGATGCGGGAAGCGAGGCTTAGATGGTTCGGGCACGTGTGGAGGAGGAGCCTAGATGCTCCGGTTAGGAGGTGTGAACAGTTGGCTCTGGCAAGTACGAGAAGAGGCAGAAGGCGGCCTAAAAAGTATTGGGGCGAGGTGATCAGGCAGGACATGGCGTGGCTTCAAATTTCCGAGGACATGACCCTTGATAGGAAGGTGTGGATATCGAGCATTAGGGTTGTAGGTTAGGGGGTAGTCGAGCGTTTCTCCTCGTGCCGGCTAGTCTGATAGTGTTTTGTCTAGGACTGCTACCGATTTTTGTTGTGTTTCACATTTTTGCTGTCTTTCACATTTTGGCCTTTCCATTTATTTGATGTCTTTTACCATGCTGATACTATTTTTCTGGTTTCTGTTGTTGTTACGGATCTATTATTTCTGAGTCGAGGGTCTCCCGGAAACAACCTCTCTATCCCTCCGGGGTAGGGGTAAGGTCTGCGTACACTCTACCCTCCCCAAACCGCACTAGTGGGATTCTACTGGGTCGTCGTCGTTGTTATTGTTAAAACCTGTAACGTGGCCGAAACAATATGAAATTTGGCATATGTGCAGTACATGTGTTAGTTTCACTCAAGACAAAACACTTGCCATCATAATTCAATAAAGCCATGTATGGCATGATTTTGTCAGCCTGGCCATTCAACTCAAAAATAACTGAGATGAGTGTATATGCACACCTAACTCTTGAAGCTTACATGTACAATGATATTCCCGGCACCCAGAAAGTTGACTTTTGTTTAAATAAGGAATAGTCAAAAAGCACCAGATTGAGTGCAGGTTACAAAGATATTCATAGTTAGACATGTATTTGCAATGAGACAACACTTTGCTACCTTCTCACTCCATTAATATCGTTACACTGCCTATTATGTCCCTGCACCAGTTGCACCGGGCTTTCATTTTGGTTAATATAAGTAGGAGCAGTTGTGTTTATAAGGTTTCCACCATAATATTAGTGTGCTAGTACATCACAATTGTTGAGAAGTGAATTCTATGACTCATTTTCTTAGAAATCAAACTCAAAGAATGTCCCATGCCTCCTACAAAATACACTCAATTCGCATGGAAAATTCTCTATCCTACTCTTTTGTACAAATTTTTTTATCTTAGGAATCATGGACCTGAATCCTCTTCTGCAGGCTTAGCCAAAATACATGCTACGGAGTATATGTTTTTTCTTAAAATGGAGGCAACTAAGTCGCACAAGTGGAATATCAGTTATCCACACCCATTCCTCATGGGATAACCAGCCATAACTTTTAATTCTTGCCTGAGTGTAGATAGGAAATAAGTATTTGATTCTCAATCTATTCATTCAAACATGTTGCTTCCAGTAATACATTATTAGACAAACAAACTCAAGGAAAACACAGACATGAACTAAATATTGTCTAATTGCAGGCTGAGAAGTCCATATCAAATCAACTTTGATTTGTAAAAGGCATAACAAAAAGCCTGTTAAACGCAAAATAAATGAGTAAAGCTTAAATGTGAAAAAAACTAACCTTGGTAAGCCTCATTTATTTCCTGAAACTTTGAAGTAGCACTATCCTGATCTTTTTGCTTATCCGGATGCCATTTCTGTCCCCAAAACGAAAATCGTAAAATAGATGCCAAGACTAAGAAAATGAGAGATGCACACTACATAGATCAGATACAATGAAATGTTTAACACTCACAAAGCGGGAACATCATAAAACATGTACAAAGGCATTGGTTATAAATGGAAAGATTAAAAACTAACCAAAGCAAGACGGATATAATTGGATCGAATGACCTCCTCTGTCGCATCATAATCCACTTCCAGTATTCTATAGTAATCCTACAACACATTCAAGAAATGCAAAACCCACAAGTCAAGATTGCAACTTGACACAACATTCCAGAACATAAAACCAAAATCTACTTCCAGTATCTCACAATAATCCTACATACAAATTCAAGAAATGTAAACCCCACCAGTAAAATTAAAAACTTGGCACAAAAATTTCCAGAAAATAAAACCAAAATCCACCACCAGCATCCTATAATAATCCTACACACACTGACACACATTCACGAAATGCAAACCCCACCAATCAAAATTACAAACTCGAGACAAAATAAAATACAAAATCCGCAGATAAGCCTTGGACAAGAAGCAGAGACATTAAAGAATTAAAACACATGAGATTATGCGAATACCTTAGGCATAGACAAAACAGACAAGAAATCAAATTTAAGATAAGAATCCTCCTCTTCTTGCTGCTGCTGATGCTGATGCTGTTCTTCCTCGTATTCATGTCGGAAATCATTGCCCCACTCATCCCACATCATCTTTTCTTCTCAAAAAGCGTTTCAGCTCAAGAAAAATAGGCAAACCATAAAGGATTTATCTGTGAGCCGCCAGCCAAGAAAACCGACGGAAAATATTTTAGCTGAAAAAGCCCGGAAATATAATAAAAATCTGATCTTTTTATTTTTATTTTTTCAGTTTACAGAAAATAAAATGCAGCTCTAGATACCCGCTAAGATGATGAAATTGTGAGATCCGAAGGGCCAAGAGACAATCCCCACAAATAGAGGCAGATTTTTTCTTTTAAAACAAAATTGATTTTGAAGAAAATAAGGATAATTGGACGAGTAATTAGGGGTTAGGTTGATACCTCTTTGTGTTTTTAAGTATTTTTGAAAGGGTAAATTTTTTTAATTCTTTTTTTTTTTTTTTTGCTTTTTTCGAGAGATTGATGTGTTAACAGGAATGTGCTTTTTGGTTAGGACACTTGGCTTCTTGGTTTGCGTTATTTGTCTCACCGCATTATCAAAGGCGACCAATTTTGGGCTTAGCTCTTAGTATTCCTCTTTTTTGGTTAAGTGATCCAAAAGCATACATTTTGGAGAAAATAATTGATCAGCATTAAGATGTTTAAATTAAGTTATTTTGGTTATTTTAGAGAACCACATAAATATGTTTTTTCAATAGAGTTGACAATGCAATATATAAACAATTACGCAATTATTCGAGGATTTAATATTTTTTCTAATTGTGAAACCATAGATTGGTGGAGAGTTGACTAAACACGAATTATCCCGTAAGTTTCATGCAATAAAATGTTAGTACGAATAATTAGGGACGGAGCCAGGATTTAAAACTTATAAGTTCAATATTGTAATTCTTTTAAGTTATTGAGTTCTAAATTAATAATTTGTACATAATCCAATAGTCTTTTAAGACAAATACAATATTTGAACAAATATTATTAGGTTCAATCGAACCCGTATCCAAAGGAAATTCTTTCTTGTCTTTCCTTTTGAGAGAGTGATTTATTGTCCGAATAAAATTTATGTCAATAAGCTGGTAATTGGTATTGCAGTTGAAATAGAATCACAAGTTGGTCTTGTTACTGGGACTATTACAAACTAGAACAATTTGAATGGTTGCACAATACATCCAAATCAGGTGGCCCATAAATCATAATGCAAAATGGGAGAGCTGAGATTGTGAGATTGAAGCAAATAATCATCAATGACAAGTGACTGCATTGCCGTGGAGGTCAATTGGAAGAGAAGGGGATTGATTGCACATCTCCCTTTTGCGGGCTGCAACTTGTCGATGGATTGCGTATAGGTGTTCATAACACGCAGCGGAAGACAATAACAATCCTAGGCAGATCTTTTTGTGTTTAAAATTTATTTACATGTCAAAAATCGGATTTAAGACGTATCTGGTGAAGAGAGTCTCGTTTAAAAATTTCTTCGATAGTACAAAGACTCTATGCGTATCCACACCGAGACCGATCCTTGCTATCAACTCTTTGATCAACGAAACCCACGAACAAATTGAACGAAAAACTTGTGCTGAAATTTTTCTCAAAAATCTCAACTCAAAGATAGAAGAACAAGAAACACTTTCTTGTAATTGTATTTTCTCTCTTGGCTTTGTATTACACCCTCACTTTCACAACGGCAAATTTTCCCCATCACCCTTTATATAGCATCACCTATAAACTCTTTTCCTATTTGGTTGAGGTAATGATTTACTTAGAGTAAATTTATTCCAAAAATAAACTTTGTATAATTTTTCCGCAAAAATTCGAATCCCATTCAAATGAGTTTTGCCGAACAGTCACGTGATTGTTCCAACTCAAAAATTGAAATCAGTTGTTTCTATATTTATAAAATATTAATCCCATTCCAAATGGGATTAATTGCACGTGGATTAATTGCACGTGAATTAATCCAATTCCAAATTGGAATTACTTACCAAGCCATTTATTCATATTATATTTTATATACATCTTATACAAAATAAATATTAATTATATATATATATATATTTCAACCAAGAGATATAATTCAATCTTTATTCCAAATAGAAAATTTCAATTTGTTCACAATATTAATTATATCCTTTGTGCTAGCAAAAAATATAACAATATTTCATTTGGACTAATAACTTTATTTATTTGACTAATT